CACAATTAATTCGTACAATAACATCAACACAATTAATTGAACCAATTGATCATTCAAATTCAAATTTATTAAATGCACAAGCTGGTAGTACAAAAAATATTTTAGAAAATATTGATGAAAGTGAAGATGATGAAAGAATAAAACGATTAGAATATGAACAGTTAACATTAGGACAAAAAATTAAAACATTAAAGTAAACTATATTTGAAATATAGTATTCTTTTTTTTTATTTTTCATTTAGTAGACGATCTCAAACATCTTATAAAACATTAAATGCAGAATTAACAAGATATGAATGGTTGGAAAATGCAACGACGAATGTGTTATAGATAAGGAGACAGTAAGTTATTTATTACTATTTATAGTAATTAGTTTCTTATGAAAGTATCTATGAAAATCTAGTATCACATAGTCAAATAAGTTTTATAGTCAGTACAACAACAAAAACACATTATTACTATTTAACAACAAAATGAACTATTGCGACGATCAAATACACCAATGGTTCGAATTTTAATTTATGTTCGATGTTCTGTTCTATGTATTTATATGCATGTCTTTATATAAATCGAATACGTTTTAGTTTGTTAATATTTATAATTATATAGCATTGTTTCATGTGAATCATTTCATGTTTATTAATATCAAAAAAACAAAGATAAATTTAATACAATTATCTTTATATTTAGTCTGGTCATAATCGTGATCGAAATCGTATTGATTCAGCAAGTTATAAACGAACACAATCATATGATCCTAGTAGACCTTCACATCATACTCAGTAAGTTTCTCTTTTGATTAGCGCACATTTTTCTCCCAAAGTACAGAAAGAAAAGTTCATACATTGCTTCGTATATACTTGCTAATAATAAGCGACGTTATTCACTGGTATACGCAGCCGCACTTGCCTCCTCGTCAGGTTTACACCGTCAATGAATGTAGGATTTAATTTCGTACTTTCAATAAACTCAAGATTTCTTTTAATAACATACTTTTTATACAATATGCTGCTTTGATTTGCTTTGTTGTTTCAGACAGCATAATAAAATAAATTCATATGATTCTATTTATCAATCATTAATAGAAAGCATGAAGTAATTCGAAAAGAAACATGAAATGATCAATAATAACTACATGAATAGTTTTCTCATTTTTTTTGTTTGTTTATAGTTCGGAAATGGGGGGACGACCATCATCAATACATGAAGACGAGACAGAAAACGGAACAACACAAGCATCAAATGTTAGTATTCGGTAAATATTTAAGATTTTCTTTATCGAATCAATCAGTAGAATATAGATAGAATTCGAGTTCAATTTGATATGTATAAGATTTAACTTTATAATAAATTTATTATTTTAGGTTTCCATCACAAGACCCATCAATGTTCGATGATCATCAATCAACAACAACTAATACACTAAATGAAATTACATTTGCACCAGCTATAGATTTAGAATTAAATTTTCAAATTCAAATTGCTAGCGGTTCATATAATCTATATACAAGTCGTGATTTAATATCAATTTCATCATTTACAACAATAAATTCAACTACACAATAACAATCTCAAGTAAATAATTATTGATTCAGATGCATATGTAAATAAAATTGAATATCAAGTATCACAGATTTTTCTTACCGGGTGTTGATGCTGATACACATTATAATTCTAAACATAATAATACTATGAATAGTGCATTAAATAAACAAGCTAGTTTTTATTGTCGTGCTATGATACAATCACCTACAACACAAATAACTATTCATCCATTATTACTTGATTTTCTTGAACAAATACATGAACATATAACATTACCACAAGAACAAGATAGATAAACTATTTTATAACAAGAATAAATGTAAAATGTTAATGAATAAAATTCTAATAATGATTAGTTAAAAACAATGTAAGTTTATTGATGAATATCTATATTCTCTTCCTCTTATAGAAGAATTCAGTAAAAAAAACTATTTACTTACTTGTGTATCCGCAGTTCAACAAAAATCAACAACACTACTTTTTACCAGCCCAACTTACAATACTTGGTACACGACTGATGCAACTAGTATTTATACTCATTTGTCAACGCGAGGTTATCAATATGGACCTTCTTCTCAAAAAATACAATCACTCTGTGGTACGACATCTACTGTTACTGCTCAAATTCATAGCAATCTTGATGTAATTATTGATCTCTCTTTTTATCATTTGCTTCATCCAAGTTTATTGAATACTTTTCTGCAGCCATTTCTAGTTTTATTACCTGGTGTTGATACAACATTCCTTCCGGTTAGTATCCACAAATTTGTTGCTGTGAACCAAGTGAACACATCCCATTCAAACTTTGAAATGCATGGAAGATACCCCGATGTCGTGCGTGGCTTAAGTCAAGAGCGAACATATACTTGTGATTTATTGATTCTATCAAGCGGTAACAGGATAGTCAACGAATCGATGATCATTTCTGGAGGTCTTGTAAGAGTGAGAGTGGGTATGTGGGTAGAAGATTTACACATCAATTTCATCTTCATACACGCACCCTCAGGAAAAGGCGCAAATAAATCACATATTCTGAATGCTAAAACACTTTTTTGCTATTACTAAAAATTGAGAGAAGAGTCAGTCTTGATCGGCCTATGTTTTTATTTCAGATATTGTTTGCAAAATGCCTTTCTACAAAAAAGTTCAGTTGAAAGTTATGACCGACTCAAAATATGGTGTCGATGAGAAGGGTCTATTTGCTGTGAAAAAAATTTACAAAGGTGAAGAGTTAATTTACGAATATGACCCTTTGGTCGAGGAATGGCCATTTTATCCTGATAATGATCAACGAGGAAAATACAGTCAAGCAGAATTATTCAAGTTGATTGAAAATAATCCAAAATTAAGCAAACTTATTCATTATCACGCATACATGGTTGATGATAATCTATTCAATGTTCCATTTAAATATGCAGTCATGGATTCTGATAATGTTGATGATTGTGAAATGCGTTTTCCCCATACTTTATTCATTAACCATTCTTGTGATCCAAATATTGGCTTTATTGAAGGCACAACATGCTGCGCACTACGAGACGTTGACATCGGTGAAGAAATAACACGCAATTATGGATGTCTTCTGACCGAAAATTCTCTTCAGGTTGGAATAAAATGCCAATGTGGATCAACAGAGAAATGTCAACAAATTCTTCGCATGGATTTTTATAAGGACCCAATATGGCGACAAGAAAACGAACGATATTGTTTCCCCTATGTTAAAAAGAAGATCCAAGAGTTACTACGTAACAACGAAACAATTGCTAAAAGTAAGTAATTTCGAAAGAAATACTCCAATAGTGAATAAGTCATCTAACTCATAATGGAACCTTTTGCGTTAGTTAAAAACTGTCTTAATTATATCCCGGCTAAATTCTTATTCTCATCATCAAACTAACAGATTCAAAATATTACATTTCCCTAGAGAGCCTCGACTGACATAATCGATTTTTAAGAATGAGTTTCTGAAAATATCAGCTACTTAAGGACATCAATAACGGTGAGATGATTCAAAATTGCCGGATCTTTTTGTATGTTATAGAGGACACTGAGCCATTTACTTTCTGAAATTATCAGTTCTATTCGATGAGATTTTGATGTATAATGATCAAAAAACATGGTTGAGTCATTTTATTGGTTTTTAAGAATTATTCATATCGAAAATATGCTAAAATCTCGATTGGGTGCGTTTTAAAAGTAGCAACATACATCAAGCCTGAAATTTTTACCATGAAAAGTGTTCATTGCAATCTATTTGCTTAAAAAATTTCAGGCTTGATGCATTTTGCCGTACAAAACGCGTCTAACCGAAATTTTAGCATATTAATTTTACGAAGAATGCTGGAGAGCCAATAAAATGATTGGATCATGTTTTTTGATCATTACATATCGCAATCTCATCGGAAAGAGCAATCATTTATAACAAATAAGTGTATGTAATTGATTATGAACTATTCTGTGAGGATATAAATTGATTGTAAAGATGAATCTGCTAGGTGTTTTTCTTCTGTCGCATACTAGTTCTTATTTTTTTTTGTTTAGCTGCTACAATTGAGCAGCACATGTCAATGCCCGATGCTAGTATGTTTTGGCTTGATGTTCTCCATGGTTATAAGCTTAATCGATCTCTACCATTACCATTTGATCGATATCGTCTTGTGGATGAAGATCGAACAGGTCGTGGAATATCTGTTTCCGTCGATTTCGGTGAAGATCTCTCACATTACTTTCTTCATTATGCATCATCAATGAATATAAAACTTGAACATCTTGTATTTGCCATTTATTATGCTTTTATGTTCAAGTTAACAAATGGAGAGACGGATTTGTGTATTGCAGTTAATACCGATAGTCAACCTATAGATGAATTCAAAACAGCGATGGGTTTGTTCGAAAATATCGTTCCATTAAGATGTCAATTAGATCCTCATTGGTCTTTCCGACGGCTCATCGAACATATTTGTGAGATAATAACAAGCACTATGAAATATTCTTACTTTCCTCTTAAACGTATTCTTGCCCAACATTCCAATACTTCAAAGCCTGCATTTCTCGACATATTATTCGAGTTTCTGTCAAATGAAAATGTTGAGAATAAAGTACTGTTCGATGATAGTCGACTTCGTGCCATGTCAATGACCTCAATCAGGAGTAATGACGAGGAAATCATGAGCAACTTTGATTTTTCTCTCAGTATGCAACATAATTCGAAAACTAATCAACTATCATGCACAATCAATGGATCACTTGATCTGTTCAATCGAAATACAATTGAAAAGATTGGACAACGATTTCATTCGATCTGCAAACAATTGTTTGCATCTGCTCAGGACCAACCAAATCAATCAATCTATGAACTATCATTAATAATGCCCGATCAAAGATTACTCATGCAATCAATGAATAATACACAAGTGTCATTTCCTTCTAGCACTTGTATTCATCAAGTGTTTGTCTGTCAAGTCATGAAACATCCACAAAAACTAGCTGTTGAATTGGATGAACAATCTTTGACATATGCTGAACTTTTACATTATGCTCAAGTATTATCTCTACATTTTATAAATAAATATGTTGTTGTTCCAGGTGAAATAGTTTGTCAATGTGTCGAGAGAAGTTTGTCAATGGTGAGTTGTTTATTTGAAATTGATTTTTAGTGTGATTGAAATTTTAATATTGTATAGGTGATTGGTATAATGGCAATAGAAATGTCTGGTGGTGTATATTGTCCACTGTCACCTAAAGATCCTCAACATCGTTTATATGCACTCATACAACAAACGCAAAGTCGTCTTGTTCTTCTTCATTGGTTAACGAAAATGAAATTTAATAATGATATGCTTTTGATTGATATTCAATCAGTGTTGATGAATAATGATATAAAGAGTCAAGTTAATGCTGATCAACTGTCAAGTATTACAGTCACATCTAATAATATTGCCTATATTATTTTCACAAGTGGTTCAACTGGAATACCAAAAGCGGTATGTTACGATTTGAATTCCTATGTCAGTTTTTATTTTTCTACATTCTAACAGATTCAAGCGCGTCATGAAAATCTCATTCATTGCATGAACGCATTAGTGAAGATCGATGTATTAAACAAAGATGATAATGTCGTTCAGATCGCACGATGTTCATTTGACATTCACGTTCAAGAAATATTTGGAGCTTTGATGCACGGAGCTACACTGGTTATGCTTCATCCAAGGGGAACAATCGATTTTGACTATCTCTCCAATATCGTTCAAATGAAACAAATTACATACATACTCATGGTTCCAAGTCTGCTTCGAAGCTTTTTCACACTTGCTGCACAGTCTGGCAAGACAGCCGCTTCAAAGTATTTTCGATCACTATGTACTGGCGGTAAGCAGCTTAGAAATGAACTTTAGCATGTTGTTTTATTTCACCTCTTTTTAGGCGAATCAGTCACTGTGCAATTAAGTACTCTAATCGCAAATAACAGTGTGTCAGAGTATAATGTATGGAATTACTACGGTCCTGCGGAAATAACAATCACCTGTACACTCCATCATATTGATGTTAAAGCTAATCCTAAAAGCATTCCAATTGGTAGATCACTTCCTAACTATCGATGTATAATTCTAAGTGAATTCTTACAAAGTATACTTATTAATCAAGAAGGTGAATTATTTGTTGGAGGCGTTGGTGTATTTACTGGTTATCTCGGTCGTAATGATTTAACTGCTCAAGCTCTTGTTGAAATAGATGATGAACTATTTTATCGAACTGGTGATCTTGTTACAATAGATAACAATGGTCTTCTTCATCATCAAGGAAGAAAAGACCATCAAATCAAATTACGTGGGCAACGAATCGAACTTGGTGAAATCGAACGATGTTTACTCAACATTCCATCTATTTCAGCTTGTGTTGTCATAAAATGGAATGATGATTATTTAGTTGCATATGTTCAATCTTCTCATGTGAATGAAGAACAACTACATCAACATTGTCAATCTCATCTTCCACCACATATGATTCCATCATTCTTTATTATTCTTGATAAATTTCCTTTGAATCAAAATGGTAAAATAGATCGAAAACTTCTTCCGCCACCTCACTTCTCATCAATGCATCTTACAAACAGTATAGAATTATTACTACCAACAAATGATATTGAAGTTAGTATTCATCATATTTGGTGTGATATACTGAAACAAAATCAAATTTCAACTGATACAAACATCTTTACTATTGGTGGTCATTCATTACTTATGATGCAACTTTTTCATCGATACATGATCGAATTTCACTTAGAACAAAAGCAAAGTAGTTTCTCGATATCAAATCTATTTCAGCATCCAACAATTGTTCATCATGCTCAACTCATTCAACAATCTATCAGTATTATCCACACTCTTGATAACTATTCTTGGTCTTCATTACATCTCATTCAAGGTAAACAAAGCTACTTAAAACAGATAGGATCATCAACTATATATATGTACTCATTCATTTTTCTCATTCTAGCTCGAGCATCATTTGCACAAGAACGAATCTATTTAGATGAACAAATTCGTTTTTCATCAGAAATAACAATGAATAATATGTATGCTTGTCCATTCCTTTACCGTATATCGTCTATGAATGATCATATATCAATCACTCGATTATATCATGCATTCCAAAGTATCATCACAAAACATAGTAGTCTTCGGACAGCACTTTATCTTGATACAAATAACACTATTATACAGCATTGTTTAGATGCAAATATCATTCTCAACGATTATATGAAATCAGATGGACTGACAGTTGTTAATCTTCATAATGTCGATCGTTGTCATATAAATGAAATTATTGAAGAAATATTAAATCAAGCTGATTTATTTAATTTATCAAGAGGACATGTTATTAAGTGTCATATTCTTCGTCGTGATCAATTAAATCTTTCATTTACTCAGAATAGTGATCTATTGACTAAAGATGATCTCATATTATTTACCATTCATCATGCTTACTTTGATGGAGCATCAACATCAATCTTTCTTCGTGCTCTTTCTCTTGCTTATCAATCTCATGACTCTTTATCTGTGGATGATAACTTATTTAATTATATAGATTATTCTGTTCATGAACATATCATGGATATGTCATTATCTCGTCAATTCTGGCTTTCTCAACTTGACGGATATGATATCGAATGTTCATTATCATTACCAGTTGATCGACAACATTCATCAACTAATAAACAACGATCAGGTTTAGCATCCACAGCTGAAATCAATTTTGATAATGAATTATGCACATCATTTCTAAATTATACATCATCACATCATCTTACACTTTTTCAACTTGGTTTATCCATATTTTATGTCTTCCTATTCAAGTTATCTCATGGTGAGACTGATCTATGTATTTCTTCGATTAATGCAAATCGATATCGAAGTGAATTAGTGAACATGATAGGAATGTTTGTATCAACATTACCATGCTGTGTTGAAATTGATTCTCATTGGTCATTTGATGAAGTAGTTAAAAATGTACGAGAAAAATGCTTATCAATTCTTGAACATTCTCATTATCCATTACAACATATTCTTAGTGATTTACATCTCACTCAATCAAATGTATCATTTCTTGAAACAATGTTTGATTTCGTCATCATATCAAATGAAGGTAATAATTTATCTTTGAATGGTGTTAATCTAGAACAAGTATCGTTAAATGAGACATATGAAATGGCTAAATTTGACTCCTTATTAAGATTTGAATACAATCCATTATCAGATAATAAGAGATTATCATGTCGTTTTGTTTGTTCACGGGATCTATACGAAAAATCAACTATTTCACAAATAGCTCAAAGATTTCAATATATGTGTGAGCAACTGTTTCAAACACAACCAAGCAACATTCCTATGAATGATATGAGTTCATCAATTAACAAAGTTTCTCTTATTCTTCCTGAAGAAGCTGAAGAAATGGAATTAGTCGCGTTTCATCGATTGGATAATATTGTGAATGAAGGTAAGATTATATGCGTCTTATTCTATCGTTTTATAGAAGTAGTTGTCAGTTAAATTAGTAATGAGAAATATGCATTAAAGAACGTTGTAATATATAGATATAGTACTTTCCGTTTTTAAATGAATCCTAACGGAATAAATAATGAGAAAACAGGGATTCAAATGGGTTGTGTTTGTCAGTGGCTCAGGTTGTGTGTTTTAGGTGCTCTAGTTCGGTAACTTTTAAGAAGAGATTGTTGAAGACGCTGAAAGTGAGTTGGAGTAGGACTTATCGAGAAATTTTTTGCCAGAGAAATCGAAGTTTAAATGTAAAGATCTCTGATAAATATCTGCTTTGAATATGTGAATAGTCTTATATTTTTGTACTAATCAACAAAAAATAACATTTACTGTTACTCGAAAATTGTATATTTCGCTTTATGAAACAGAATAACTATGATAGTAGAATCTTTCATAAGCCTATTTATGTATAAACTGGCACTCTCTCAGGACTAAGATACGCTTGTAGATTTCATGATAGGAAACAACTCACACTTAAGTTACTTAGACTGTTGAATAGAATCGGTAAAATCCAGAGTTTGTCATTGGCGAGACTAATTCTCTTTTACTTCTAAGTGAACTAATCATTAAGTACGTGATGAATCGCCAGTTATCAGTAAGCATGTAACCGAACCCGTACCCGAACGTTCAGGTTCGCTACATG